CCACATCGGGCTCCCTGCTCAGTGGGAAGCCTGCTTCTCCCTCTCCCTCTGCTTGTGTTCCCTCTCTGTGTCTCTGTCAAATAAATAAAATCTTTAAAAAAAATAAAAACCCACAAAACTTTGATATGGATTACACCCCTTTAGATTCCTCATAATTCTATGAAGTAATTTTGTTAAGTAAATTACTTTACAGAAGTTTGGAGGCTCACAAAGGCCAAGTGACTCAAATGGCTAATAAAGGGGCAGAGCCAGAAATTAGAGACCATGTCTGACTCCAATGCCAAAATCCACCTTTCCCTATAACCAGTTTTGATAATTTCTTTAAAGTCTCAATGATGATTCCCATTATGCCAATAGACAGTAACAATAAAATCACATCATAGACATTAAAACACCAGAGACATTTTAAAAAAATAATAAAAATAGGGGCGCCTGGGTGGCTCAGTCGTTAAGCGTCTGCCTTCGGCTCAGGTCATGATCCCAGGGTCCTGAGATCGAGCCCCGCGTCGGGTTCCCTGCTCCGCGGGAAGCCTGCTTCTCTCTCTCTCCTGCTGCCCCACTTGTGTCCCTGCTCTCACTATCTCTCTCTCTGTCAAATGAATAAATAAAATCTTTAAAAAATAATAATAATAATAAAAATAAAAAACAGAAGAGCAGAAAAGAAAAAAGAAAAAAAGAAATCAACTAACCAACCACTGGAGAAAGTTTGTCCTTCATTATTAAAATCATTTTATCTACTAAGGTTAGTTACTGGGCATGTCTGTTAAAACGTCTTTTATTTTAAAGTACTTCTCAGTAAGAAGGACTTTGTTCCTTCATGGCTTATTATAAAACTTAGGGAGTTAAACTGAGTATCTGTGAAGGCCAAAAATGTTAGTTATTCTTACCTAAGAACACCTTTTAAACAAAGCCACAAAACAGCTTCTTTTATTTTCTAGTAAGACTAAATTTATTCAATACCCTAAGTAAAAGTTTTGATTATAAGTATCCAACAGTATAAAAAGTACAAAACAGATTTGTAGATTTCTAATACATTAATACAAAGTACATGACTACATACAGTACATCCTACAGGCAAAGAGGTGGAAGGGGAAAAAGAAGACTGTGGTTGAGGTCTAGTAATAAATAAATAAATACAGAAGTAGAGATGATCCATATTATAGTATATTCTACCACCAATACTGTAGCCAAAATGTACAAAAAAAAAAACCCCAAAAAACCATTTCAAAATAACGGGAGGAAGATGGTAATGGCTGGGACTCTTGGAATACACCTCAAAGGCTGTGGGAGAGCCAACCCAACTCACTGCGTAGTCTGTGCATATGGTGGCTTGTAGTTTGTGCCATAAGAAATATAAAATTTTAAGTTTAGATTAAGAACTATAAAACTATGGGGTGCCCATAGAAAGTGGCTCACTCCTTGTTATTTATACTATCCAATTTTAAAAATCCAGTTTTAAAAATAAGCACTGAGTCATGTTACTGTAAGGTAGGCAAATGATCCTCCCTTATTATGAAAAGTCTGAACTGGTGATATGTTCTTCCTGAATGTTTAGAAAAGAGGCAATGAGAGTACTTTGGTTTGGGTTCAAGTAAAAGGCTTTCAAATGAAGATTTTAGAACTGAAGAGCTCTGTGTTCAGGATTTATCATCTAATATCTCAAGGTTCACAAAGCCTGACCATAAGAAGCCAAACCTAAACCAACCCACTCAGCATTAACACACACCTCTCTTCTTTTAGTAGAATTTTACTTTAATAGAGTGAAAAGAAACCCAAAACCCTAATAGATTAAAACAAGTCAAACAACCACTCTACACAGATAAAACCTTCACAAAGGTCAACTGAAGTAATCCAGAGCTAAAACTGAATTGTGCAGATTTTCAATGAAGTCACCAGTCATGTAACACAAACAAAAGTCAATTATTTACACACTAGGCAAGCCCTCTAAGAAATGTGCCCCAAGAAGCATTAACCTTTGTTTATTTGTGTATGCCATCCTGAAGACTTGCACATTTTTTCAGATAATTTAACCTTCTTAATAGAATGTGATCTCTACCATGTGGTAATGCTTTGGTACTATTCATTTAGGATTGCTCATCCTAAAATCTGACATTTCCCCAGAGGAGCTTTGATTCTGCTTTAGAAGTTTCAATATAGATTAGAATCTTTATCAAATATTAATATGGAGGGAGGTGACACAGGATGCGACATATACAGTCAGTCAAGTTACCTCTCTGTGTATTTAGAAATTACTCCTTCAAGGTATTTGCACCAGACAGCTTAGTCTGTCCTGCTTCATATTCAGTAGTACAGGTTTGAATCATCAGAACCTTGGCAAGACCTTATTATTGCAAAATTATTAACAACTACCTCTAGGGGCAAGTCCATGTTACTGAGTTATGACAAATTTATTATCATGAAGGAAAACAAGTATAGCCAGCCATCTTTAAAAAATGCCCCAACCACTGCTTCTCAATATAGAAAGACTAAAACTACATACGTTTATCATACAACAAATCCCATCTCTGTCCCCTGAAATTCCCCTAGTTTCATTCATTAGAAGGGGATTAAAAAAAAAAAAGACTTAAAGAGCACTTTACAGCAGCATTCAGCTTTCCTATGAAATACTCAGCATCTTAAATATTATGTACACTTTTTTTCTTTTAGTAAGCTAGACACTGGCTTGAGTTTGTGGAACTGGAGGAGAAATAACCACCCATTCAAAACTATTCTAGAAATTGTCTTTTGGCAGAATAGCAGGTATCAGAGTTAAAAATAAAAGGGTTTTGTTGCTTTGTTTTCTTTGCAAAATTTAAATCGTTTTTCTTCCCCTTCTCCCTAAACCTCAGTCACCACTCCTGAGTGGAGATGGGCAGAGGCTCTGGGCCCTGCTCCTCCGGCTTCTCAGCAGCTGTTTTCTTATTGCTGCAGCAAGGCTTGAAGAGATGCGTGTCAATGAGGACTTCCCCAAAACGGCCTTTATAGATAATCCCGCAACATATTTTCTGTCTAAAAGAAAAAATGGGAAACAGATTAATAAGGTAGAAAACTAGTAATACAAGAAAACAAAGGGGGGGAAAAATCTACATCCTTATAACTAAGTACCACATGAGCAAGCATTCCAAATGAAAGGCTCCTAGAGAGATCCCCAATTAGCTAAATTATGGGAATTACCCAGGTCCCTTAAATCTCACACTGGAATCTTATCAAATATTAAGGGGAGCAGGGGTCATTCTGAGAGACAGCAGTTTCGGAAGCTGCTCCTAACATTGTAAACGGTTTCTTCTAAAAATCACCGACTCTTGGAAAAAAACAAAACAAAACCCACCATCATAAACAGGCTGATACAACTGGTAAATATATATACCATCAAATATACATAAAGACATAAAAAATGACAGTACAACAAAACATCCATGGATCACATACTCTACGGGAAAAAAAAAAATCATTTTTTATGAAGTACCCTTGTATGCCCTTCTCCAATCCCACCCTACCCCATCTCATTCTCTCCTCCTTAATTTTAAGCCTATCACTACTTTTTTTCTTTACACTTCATAGTTTTACCACATCTGCATCTCGACAGATATTGCTCGGTTATCTCCTATTTAAAAGAAACACATATATGGAATCATACTCTATAGTGCAATTTTTTTGCTCAACATTGAAGTTCATAGCTATTGTTAGGCAGAGCCTTTATTTCATTTTATGTATAGAATTGTACCATGTAAATATACATTCATCCACTGTCCTTTTACTGGGACAACTTCCACTACTACAAATATGCTATACACACATCAATGCATGCTTAAACGTTTTCTAGGTTATGTTGCTGGGATACAGAAATGGAAACATGTTCATGTTTACTCGAAAACGCCAATTATTTATCAATGTGGTTCCCTTGTATTCCTATTTACTAAAGGTTTTAAGTTTTGAAGAAACATTCAAATTTATCAAACATCTTCAAAATACTGCTAAGATGGTAGGCATTTTTCCCCTCCTTTACAAACTGTCAATGTGGCAAATTTCTATCAGTTGATTTTTAATGTTTAAACCAATCTTATATCCCTAGAATAAATCTAATCTGGTCATGATACACTCTTTTGCTATCGAAGTTATGTTAGCCTCATAGAATGCTTGGAGCCTACGCTCTCTTTTACTCATCATCTGAAAAAGCCAATGCAAGATCAGAATCATTTGTTTCTAGAATGTTTGGCAGAACTTGCCTAAATGGGTCTGGGGTTTTTGGAGGCAAGACTTTGACCAATGAATCAACTTTTTATACTATACAGGTTTTCTATTTTTTCTTGAGACAACTTAGGTAAACTTTTCCTACTAATGTATCCACTTCACCTATATGTTCAATTTATTGGCATACAGTTGTTTATAATGTGTGTCTTTTAAATTTGATTTATAGCTAAATCTCCCTTTCGTTATCCAAGATGCTTATGTGTATTATCTCTTTTTTCTTTATCTGCTTCATCTCTAGTAGTTTTTTTGGTCAGGTCTTTTTCAAGATCTAACTTGTTTCTTTACTGATCCTATTCGCTGCATACTGGTTTTCTACTTCCATTTCTTTCTACTCATATCTTTTTTTTTTTTTT